GCCGTTGACGCAGCGGCGACGCCGCGAAAAATAATCGGCATTTGCTGCGGCGTAGTGGTCTGCAAGCTCACGATTGGCGGGGGGCCGCGGGGCTGCCCGCTGGCGCACCCGAGGCTTTTCTTTTCCTCCCCCGCTCTCCTGCTACTCCTGCCGCCGCAGGCGCGGGGCTACCCGAGCCCTGCCGCTCCCCCGTTTCTTCTGCTGCTGTTCCTGCCGCCGCCGGCGCGGGGCCACCTGCGGCCCGCGCGTCTTCCGGCGCGGGGCCACCCGCAGCCAGAGCTCCGAGCGGGCTTACAGGCGCTTGCCCTACCACCGAAAAGCGACGAGCTTTCCTTCGTTTTGGAGACTGCTCCGATCTCCTCCTGGCCGGCCACCGGCAGCGCAGTCTTGCTGGTCACCAGCTCCTCGCGCCTTTGGATCACATCGAAGATAGCTTTCGCAGCAGGGCCATCGCGCGGAACGATGCACCCACCATCCTCGGTCAACCACCTCACTTGCTTTCCACCTTTGAAGACTTGGCTTGCAAAGGCCAACACCTTGCGTGCGTCTGCCTCACGGCCAATGATCCCGCGACGCTGTCCGCGCTCGTCTGCGCACGCGAGCTGGCCCCCTCCGCAATCGGGGATTCGTTCCCCGCTGGCGGCGGCGTTACCTCTGCGGTTCTCGTCTGGCCGGCCGCTGCCGAACTGGACCCTGGGCATCACGATGACTGCTGCCCCGTTGTCGAATTTTGAACTTGGCGCACCCCTCGCCGCCCGCGCCAGCCACGCGGGCGACCGGCGGCGGGGCCGCCCGCACATCGAGCGCAACTAACTCGAGGAGGGCTTGCTCCGCATCGGGCTCGTGTCCGTGGTCTCCCGCTTCCCCAAGCGAAGCCGCGCTTTTGCCTCGGGCCCCCTCGGGGCCGCGGCCTCCGCGGCCGCCGGGCCCGCATTCGGGGCCACCCTTGGGTTTCTTCGCGCCCCGGGGCTTGCCCCAGCAGTCCGCCTCCTCGCGTCCTCACTTAGTGCCACTCAGAGGGTTTCGGCGGGGGCGCGCGCCTTCCCCCACTGTCTTTTCCTTTTCCTCCGCATTTGCCTTTCCCTTCTCCTCCGAGGAATCCCGCGCCTCCTGCGCCCCCCTGTCCTCTCGGCCGCCCTTTCGGGCATGCGCCGCCTCTGCTGGCGCGTGGGCTGCCGACGTCTACGGGCGCGGGACCGCCGGAACAAGCGCTCCTCATGCGCTCCTGCAGGGTCACGCGAACCTCCCCCCCTGCGCGGGCCTCGTAGAAAGTCGCCACTTCTGCCTGCGCGTCACTGCATTTTCTCAAGCGGTTCGCGTTCAACGGACGGTGGTTCTCGACGTCCTCAGGAACCAGCGCTTCCAAAGCACTGCACAGGCACTCATCAGCAATCGGGGTTTCTCCTAGCCTCCGTTGCTTCGCGATGCACCGCGCGACAATCCCCCCCCCCCCTAGCTGGATCGCAGCTCACAACTCCCCCCAATTCACCCTGCGAGGCGACAGGGTGGCACGCAGCAGCGCCCGGCGCCTTCCGCTTGTCAGCGCGTGAAACCCCCCGCGCAACCGGCGCCGCGACTCCAGACCGTTGCGGCCACAGCTCTGGGCAATCGTCCACGACTCGCCCTCCGTCAAACTCGACAATACCGACTTGTTCTGTAAGTTGAATGCCGCAATGTCGTCTATGGCATGCCCCGTACCGGGCCCCAGGGCGAGGACTTTTTCAGCTTTCGTGAACTCGTCCTCCTGCTGAAGCGCCCACTCGAGCGCTGCTGCAAACTGTGGCTATGATCGGATCAATGTACTCTTCTACTTTCTTGCATCATTCAGGAAATTTGCTTTCGTCGTTGGCAAAGGTGCACGGTATGTCTCTGCCTTTTCACGTCGACGAGAACTGGCCGATCCCTCCTCGAGAAGCTCTGGTCTGCTCTGTGGGCGCATCAATCCAATAACAAATTGACTCATTGGAAACGACGGGGGCTGCTGCCGCCGCGACCCGCTGTGCGGCGCCTCCCCCCTGTTGCAGTTGGCTGATTTGCTGCTGCTGAGATGTCACCGTTGCTGTGAGCTGACGGCCCTCTTGACCACTCGCAGCGCATTGCTGCGTCAGTCGCTCCATCTGCTGGGTTAACAACCTCAGCTGTTCTTCCGCCATCCGTCCTTTCTGGCGACGGCGAGGCCACCCGCGCAGACGCCGCTTCCGTAGCCTCTTCCTTTACCCTGTCCTCGCTGCCCTTCTGGCCCGAGCCCCTGTCCGACCCGACCGCAGCGAGGCCCCCACGCGACATGCGGTTCGAAGCAGCGCAGCCTTTCAGGTTGCACAGCGGAGAAATCGACGACGGCCTTCCCCTCGCGCCGTTCGCCGACCACTCTTCTTCGGTACGCTTGTTTTTCCTCTTCCTTCCCTTCTCCTCAAAGTCCCCTCCTGGGTTTCGTGGGCGCGTGACTCGTCCCGCGCGCGCCCGAGAGTCCAGTGCCTCCTCCACCTCCTCATCCCCCTCCCCTTCTTCTTATTATTCTTAATAGTATTATTCTCCTTCGTCAGATGGTTATTCTTCTTATTCCTCATATTTTTATTAATATTATTCGTCGCATTCTTGTTGTTATGATTCTTAGTATTATTAGTATTATGATTATGATTATTCCTCTTCGTATTGTTATTATGCTGTTCATTCGTCTTCTTATTCGTCTTCTTCTTCGTACTCGTCTTAGTATTCGTCTTATTCTTCTTCGTCTTAGTATTATTATTATTCCTCCTCCTCCTCCTCGTCCTCGTCCTCGTCCTCGCCCTCGTCCTCGTCGTCGTCCTCCTCCTCCTTCTCCTCCTCCTCCTCCTCCTTCTCCTCCTCCTCCTCCTCCTCCTCCTCCTCCTCCTCCTCCTCCTCCTCCTCCTCCTCATCATCATCATCATCCTCCTCCTCTTCCTCCTCCTCCTCCTCCTCCCCCTCGTGTTCCTCCTGTTCCTCCTCCTCCTCCTCCTCCTCCTCCTCCTCCTCTTCCTCCTCCTCCTCTTCCTCCTCCTCGTCCTCCTCCTCCACCTCAACCTCCTCCTTGCTCTGCCGAGCCAGCCGCAGGAAAACAACTCTCTTCGGATATTCTGGCAACGGCTGCGCGGCCTGCTGCCTCCTCCCGGCCACGATGCCAGGCTACCCGTGGCGCTCCTGGGCGCCCTCCTGCGGCGACGCCAATGGGTTTCCCGCCGGCGCCTCTCCTCCGGCAGCTGGAGCAGTCCGCCAAAGCGGCGCAAGGCTGCCCGCTGCCGCCGGCGCTGGGGCTGGGGCCGCTCCTCCTCCCAGCCTGCCCCCGACGCGGGGCTACCCGCACTCAGTGGAGGCTGGGTGTCATCGCCGAGTCGCTGGCGATATCCTCGTTCCTTCCGGCGCTTGATGACGCCGGAATGTCGTCGCTGGCCCCTTCTCCTCTCGGACCTCTCCTCAGGCATGCATGGACCAGGCCAACGCGCAACCATGAACAAGTTGTTTGCCCAAAGGGGCTCTGGAATGCATCGCGACGACAATGATACGCTGCATGATGCAGTCTACGCTGCTGCCTGCCGCTCCACACTCCTGATCGCCCAAGCGTCTGAGGGGGGAATTGATGCAAGCACTTTCCACTGCCACGAAGAGGAACCGTTCCTTCAAATGGTAAGGTTCATCGAATATTTCCCGGACGCGTTTGCACACCATGTCTGTTGTGTGTTTGGCTCTGGTTGCCTCTGCCGTCTGACTCGGCGTCGAGATATCTGAACGCATGTTGGTCCCAGTCGCAAGCTTCACCAGATTTTCCAACAACTCAAGCCAGCGCGTCAATGTGTCGTATCGACGCCATATTTGGGAGCGGGGGTACTTTCAAAAATAGTCACACATTCACTCGGCCATCACTTGTTGCGCAGTTGTCAAATCAGGAAATTGCGATATTTCTAAAAACGTATCACCCATCCCCTCCCAACCACCACCACCACCAGTCTGGTCTACAGTCCGGCAAACTGACTTAACCAATTTGTTGACGCGCGCTTGTATCAACGTATTCCCCTGGTTCCCGGTGGTCGCACCTGTGGGCAGCTGCGCAGAAGAGTCACATCCGTTCCCGCCCACAGCCTTGGACACCCACCTGTTGCGGTAGGGAATCTTGGTGTGTGCCTACGTGGGCAACTACCCCTTTCCGAGCCCGCTGGGAAACAAGGTCCCTCCTCACCGACGTCTCTGATGACATTCATCATCTCCTATACTGA